AGCTGAATTATTATTCAAAACAGAGTGAGGAGAATTAGGAATTAGGAATGGGGGTGACAGCAACCATGATGCAAGGTGTTTACTGGAGGAGATGATGGGGGTGGTGATTATGGGCAATGACCCAGCAGGATTTCTGAGACTGGGGTATTCCTTGTGTTGGCCCAATAAGAGATCTCTGATGTGAGGTGGGGAAAGCATGATTAATAATGGGATTCTAAAGGCCCATTTTGCTCTGTTCTGCAATGAAGTTACACACAACACACAATAAACATCCTACACTCAACCGTCTTGAGTTCCTGGTTTTTCTCTCTCTGTCTCTTTCTTCTCCGTTTTGGAGGGAGAATAGATTAAAGGAGAAAGGATTGTAATTCACATTTAGGTCAAGACAATGGGACCATGTAAAGGCAAAGAATAGATAACAAGAATTTTATGGAGGCAGAAAGTCTAGCAGAAGATGATCATGAGAAGGTAAATCCTTCAGAATTTTGCAGAAATGTTGGATAGGGCTTTGTTATTTTACTGAATGTGTGAGATATGCAGCTCTGTGTTTTCCTGGTAATCATGGAAGACATGCTCCATGGCAGGTAATAATGCCTGTCTCTTATGTACTGTGGAAATTTAGTGAAGCAAGGTGGTTAGCTGCACTGTACACATGGGCAGACATTGTCCTCCAACATTCCCCATTTAGTCCAACAATGGACATTCAGTGGGCCATGAGGCAGAGCTCATAAGTAGGGGGAATGTTGCCAAATCCAGAGATTTTGGGGGTGATGTCGATGTCGGCTGGTGGCACTAGCGAACGCAGGGAGAAGTTCTGAAGGATGGAGGTAAAGTAGAGAAAGAGTTCCATACGGGCCATGGCCTCGCCCAGACAAATGCGCTTTCCTGTGGGCACAGGGGAGGGTGATAGGTTGGCTCACACCTGCACAGGAAAATGGGGTTGGGGGGGGGGTCTTGGGGCCAGACCACCTTTCCAAGCCTCAGATGCCTCCTTAGATGCCTCCACAGCACCTCACGGGTCATCATAGTACCCGCTTCAAGCGTTTGTCCATTACCATGCTCAGCTAGGGGGCTCAACCATGGCACTCTTAGGCTCAGATTCCTAGATGGACCAATGGTTGGGGGACAGATGAAGGATGTTACTGGGGGGGACCCAAACTGTAGCAACCTACCAGAGGAAAAAGGCACAAAGGCTTCATTCTTCTTGAAACGACCCTGCTCATCCAGGAAGTGTTGTGGATAGAAGGCATCTGGATAGCGGAAGTATTTGGGATCTTTGAGGACGGAACCAATCAGGGGAAACACATCAGTGCCCTGGATTAGAGAAAGGGATAATTAGGGGAAATCCAATGTTGAGATATGAGGGTGGGGACACAGGAAGAAAGAGAAGTGCAGGGGAGAAGACAGGGCAATAGAGTGGGTACAGTCTCACCTTGGGCAGAAGGAAGCCTCGGAAATGAGTGTCCCGGATGACATTGTGGGGGACGCCCATAGGCACAATGTCTGTCAGTCTCTGTATCTCATGGATCACAGCATCCGTGTAGGGCATCTTGACCCTGTCATCCACACTTGGGATCCGGTGAGGTCCAATCACCTGGTTAATCTCTTCATGGATCTTGGCTGAAATAAGGCAGAAATGTAGCAAAGATGGGCACAGAGAAAGGGCAAGAAGTGTTTTTGTTAGGGCATCAAATGTAGAAGCCAGGCAGAGCCAGGCATTCATACCTCCAGCAGACAGTGGGCTCTGAGAGTGCTGGCCATGTGTTTTGGATTGCCTCTTTGTATGTAACACCTGTCACACAGGTGGTACACCATCAATATTTATTAGCCCATTGGGAGGGAGCCTTGAAAGTCATTTGGGGCATGCAGTGTTAATCTTGAAAGCACCAAGTGAGCATGGAAGGCTGATGAGCAAAGCAGCTGAGTTTTCATAAACATTTTTGGCAGCATAGGAAAAAGACAGATCAGCAACTCAGTGAGAATTGAAACAAATGAGAAGCAGCTGTGATAGTGATTAAAAGCATCTTTGGTTGAGTTGCCCTTCTGACATTTCCCAGATGAGGGACCTTGGGCAACAAAATCTTACCCGTGATCCTCTCTCTTCATCTTGAGAATAGGTGTAATAGTTGTACCAAGATCAGAGATATTTGAGAATTCATAAAATTCAATGTGTAAGTAACTAAGATAGTGCCTGCACATGAAGGTGTTGTGGGTTCAGTTGTGTTCCCCAAAAACTATATTGAAGTCCTAATCCCTGGTACCCGTGAACATGACTTATTTGGACATAGGGCCTTTGCAGAGGTAAAGGTTAGCATGAGGTCATACTGGAATAGGATGGGCTGTGTATGATCGCTGTCCTTAAAAGAACAGAAGAGACACAGAAGGAAGATGGTCATGTGAAGATGGAGATGAGGGTTGGAATGTTCCCCTGGTGCCCGTACTCCCAGAAGGAAGGAAGACATACTCTTAAAACCTTAGAATTCCACAAGGCAAGGAACACCTAGTGCTATCAGAAACTGGGAGAAACAAGGAAGACTCTTCCCCTAGAGCCTTCAGTGAGAGCATGATTCTGCTGAATTTAGACTTCTAGCCTCTAGAAATGTCTTAGTTCTCTAGTGTTGCTATAACAGAAATACCACAAATGGATAACTTTAGCAACAGGAATTTATTCTCTTATAGTTTAGGAGGCTAGAAATCTGAATTCAGAGTGCCAGCTCTAAGGGCTAGGTAGAGTCCCCTCGACCTTGGGCTTCAACTTTCCCTCTTGCTCTAGACCCACTGGAGCTAGAGGCATCTCCTGACTCACCCCATTGCTGGCTGCTGAGACTGAAAAAGCCAAGGTTGGCAGGTAAAATGGCTCAATCCCAAGTTCAGCAGGCAACATGGTAGACCACTGTTCAAGTCCATGAACAATTCCAAGATTGGCAGACAACACAGCAGGCCACTGGTTCAGGTCCAGGAACTGGAGGTAAGGATTTAGCCAAATGCGGGATCCAAATATTCCACAAAGCTCAAAA